CAAATCCATCTGGAAACAACAGTGGCATCCTGTGCAATGAAAGAGTACTCTACCTCAACCATCTGAAGAATTCACGGATAGGGAACTTCTGTTTCAAAATCAGAGAAATACGAATAGGAAAGGCAACTTTAAGATATATTTATCTTTTTCTCTGTCCCTGGAGATGCATGATACAGGGTATTACTATGCAAGTGAAGTTCAGTTTTCAGCGATAAGACAGTGGCTATGAGCAAGTTTTCTGCACACTATTTTTATTCTTCTTGTTTTGACATCTTCTACCAGTATGACCAACACCGATCTTCTGAATTTCCTGAAGCCGCATGACAATTCTAGACAGAAGAGCTCAGTTGCCAAGTTATGTGTGAAGTCTCAGGGAACTAAAGCCACACAGTCTTTAAGTGTGTCCTGCAGGGACACAGAGGACTTCCAGTGAATGAAAAGATGTGGACAATCTGCTCACAACCCCCAGCCAGTTGGCTTCTGAACACAAATCTGAGCTTTCAATGACTGCCCCACAACCCATGAAATGAACTGCGACAAAAGGCTTGATGCAAGCAGCTTCCACTCCACCGCCTGCGGCCTGGGTTCTGGGGATGGAGGAAGCTGGGCCCTGGGTTCTAGGGATGGGCGTAGGGTCTGAGAGGGGAAGAAGCAATGAATGCAGTAGAAGAGGAACAGAGGAAAAGGGGGTGGAGATTGAGGAGCAAGAAAGGAAGATAAAGAGAGGACACCCAGGTCAGAGTCAGCGCTATCTGGGCTTCTTGTGGTTTTGGGGGTCCCACCCAGAACCGCACAGACCTCAGCTCCGGGGGCGCAGGGCTGGGTGGGCCCCATGACTGTGTCCTGAGGATTCTTCCCGTGCGCAGGAGGGAGCGTCCAGACAACCAAGAGAAAGACAGCACTAGGGTCAGAAATGGGGCTGGGCTTTGGGGGGGGCTGAAAGCAACTGACTGAAATTTCGAGATATGACACATAAATACATCAACCATAATACTGTTCCCTTCTTGGATGAATTTTTTTTAAAAAACCTTCATGATTTTTACACACGATTCATTACATGTCTTGTTATGAATATCCTGAATGGGCAAAAATTACGCCCAATATTTACATGAAATATATTAAAGCTCATTCATAAAAGTTGTTTTTATAATTATAGCCTCCTTTTAAAGCACATTTTAACAACTTGCTTTGCTTATATATTGCAAGCTAAAATGAAGTGAATGAATCAAAATCTTACATTTATGCTTTGTTACACCACAAAATGGGAAGAAAAATTAGTAAACATCCAGCATATTATTGAGGATGAATGTTAATACACTTTTGCTAAAATGTATGTATGATTTATGTCTATTTCATAATTTAAATTAGCTGCTTAATGATGCGTAGCTGCTATCTTCTCTTTATCCATTTACCAGTGCAATTTAATTTCAGGAAGAATCAAAGCCATGTTTTCTAGGCTTGACTGAACATCCTTAGGAAAAAATGTCCTCAAAATGAGGAGGAAAGATGACAGGTAGTTCTCCACCTACATCCACAGATTTTGATATTCTTCAATGGCACTCAGTGTCACTTCCACCAACATCCTCTCCTGAGAGACGGGCACACCGTGCTACGGAGCCTTCGGCATGCTGTAAATAGGATGCGCAAGGCGAGGCTGGGCCTTCCTGAGCGGCCAGAGGTAAAGGTTAGAGACCAGTGGGAGCTAGAGCTTTTTTTTTTTTTTTTTTTTTGTGAGACAGAGTCTTACTCCGTCACTCAGGCTGGAGTGCAGTGGTACGATCTTGGCTCACGACAACCTCCGCCTCCTGGGTTGAAGAGATTCTTGTGTATCAGCCTCCTGAGTAGCTGGTATGACAGGTGTGCACCACCGTGTCTGGCTAATTTTTTGTATTTTTAGTAGAGACAGGGTTTCACCATTTTGGCCAGGCTGGTCTCGAACTTCTGGCCTCAAGAGATCTTGAGATCTTCACGGCCTTCCAAAGTGCTGGGATTACAGGCATTAGCCACTGTGCCCAGCCGAGCTGGAGATGTTTATTTGGTCATCATAGGAAACATCTGCCTCTCAGTCACACTCATTCTTAAACACCTGTCATAAATTCAGAAGCAGGTGATGTAAGAGGAGTCATTTTGAATCTATAATTCACACGGACCTCAGTAGGAAAAGAAACCAGAGCACTTGGTGCAGCTCTGCCCTTCAGGGTATCTGGTGGTTTCAATTAAGGCCTGTGTGCTCAAGGCCCTGAGTTTTCTGTTAGCAGCAGACAAAATGCCTAAAAAAAATCAGCTGTCAAGTCCCAGTCCCAGTCCCCAGCCCAGGCAGAGTCCCACAGACCTGGGTCCAGCCCTGTCCCGGGACTATGAACGACGTGGGAAGGGCGGGGTTGGAGGAGATGCTCAGGCTGCAGTCAGGCAGAGGGGGAAGGAATGGTTTTATTTATGCCGGGGGAAAACAAAGCGAATCCTTATAAGAAATAGGAAAGCAGCCGTTTCTTGACTATGATAGCTACCAGGCATAACTGATTCAATAGAAACACCCTCAAACTTCCCCAATTAACAACGCCTTTAACCTTTCCATCTTTTCTTCACAACCTACCAAGTGACAGCCTCCCCATTCTTTCTGGGCTGGAAATTTGGTCTTACATGGAAAGGATGACCCTCAAATTGGTGACGAAGTGGAGACGAGAAAGGGACATGACAGAATCAGGGAGCCCAGTTAATTTACAAGGTAGAACAGTATCCCTGGAACGACCAGCAATGGCTGTATCTCTCCAAACTCATGAGCGGTTGAGGGAACCACCTACAAGCAGACTGGACGGAACTTTGAGAGGGACGTAGATGAGACTTACTCCTGGGGAGAGGGGACGGATAAAGCCCTGCTCCTCCAGGACAGTGCTCACGACCACCGGGCAGCTTCCTGGCTGGAGTGCGGGAGAAGACCCCGAGGGAGAAGACCCCGAGGGAGAAGACCCCAGGGAAGAAGACCCCAGGGAAGAAGTCAAGACATCTTTATCCAACTCACGGCCGCAAAAGCCAGACTCCTGGGGACAGAAGGCCTGCTTGGCCAGCAACACCAGTGAGGGTCCTTCAGCAAGTTCCCGAGACCCCTCTGGCCCCACTTCCGCCACCTGTTGGCCACGCCACGGCAGACAGAGCTCCTGAACACGCACCATCAAGCGGTCCTGGCTTTGGTCTGTTCCTCCTGGTCACGTGGAAGGCTAGCAGGACTGGACAGGCCAGTGGGTGGGCAGGAAGTGTCGCACATTAAGGACTGGCATCTACGTCCCTGGATGACACGGAGTCCTATGTCCGAGAGCGACAGTGTTGTTGCTGGTCCTTCCTCACTCTGTGGCTACCTAGATTGGCTGGTTCACTTCCATGAAATCAAGCCAGCCCCATCAAGACGATCTCTCTGATTTATGCCCTATCTTAGTTATTAGAAGTTACCCTTTCCATTTTTTTCTTTTCTACAAGGGGCAAATTCCCTTAGTCAGAAGGAATAAACAATTTTAATACCAGTGAGACTAAAGGTCAAAAAATATTTTATACTAAAAATGATAAAAATCTCCATCAATTCTGGGATAACTCAGAGTAATATGGACCAATTCCCTCCCGTCCTACCTGGAGGAAGGTAAAGATGATAAAGGAGAGAGCATGGGGAATAAAGAAAGCCGGCGTCTGCATTCGTTCCTATGCCCCTCCAAAGAAACAGAGCTGAGTTTTAAGCAAAAAACAACACACAAAGATGAAAGATTTGTTTTTACTTCTAGCCTTTTTAGTTCATCTATTTACTTACTAGTATCAACTAAGTTAAATAGAATGTTTATTTAAATTTTCTGAGCCTTCTATAGGAATTATTATTTTATTATTAATCAGGCCTTTGCATATCTTGTACTGCTGGTTTTAAATATTTTCTACCTCCGATCAGGCTCTGCATTTCCTGACACCTAGGACCATTCTCCGTAGCTCCACTGCCGCAGCCAACAAATGCTGACAATCGAGCCTGCAAAACGTGGCAGTGCGAGACTCTCCCGTGTCACTGATACATTCAGAAGACAGTAAGAAAACTGGCAAATACAGCTGGTACTAGAGAGCAGCCACTATTCCAAGCAACTTACACTGACATCATTTAATCTTCAGGACAATCCAGGAAGCAAGCAGGATTGGCATATCTGTTTTACTGATAAGGACACTGGGGCACAGAGAGGTCAGATAACTCCCCCAAGGCTACACGAGTCAGTGATGTAACCAGGATGTAACTGGGGATGCCTGACAACAGGGCCTGGGCTTTCAACAGCTGCTTACACCGCCCTCATGAGACATCCTGCCAGGACTGTCTTCTATTTAAGAACATATGAAGGGCTTCAAACATATTTATAAGGTTCTTCACCAAGAGACACACATTGCACAAGGCTCCCAGTGCTGTAGAAGGCTCTCCGTAACCCGTCTTCTCCCTTCCCAACTGTTGATTTCCTGTCACTCTCCTAGAACTACCCTATGCTATAGCCTAGTGTTTTCCAAACCATGGTCGTGACTGTGACCCAAAGGGTGAGTCACAACCAGATTTTTAAAATAAATTAAATAAGAATAGAGACGAATGGAAAATGTCGCGGTGTGTGCCACATGGCACGGACACGTTTGGTTTCACTGCTCTGCTTCTCTGTGCATCAGGTCCCGAGATGGGACGGTTCTTCCCTGTGGAGCACAGCTCAGACGTCTACCACCCGGGCCCTGCACCACATCATGCTGCCTTGACACACCAGGTGCTAGATACACAGCTGCTAAATGTACAGACAGACACACCAGGGAGCACCTCCAGGTCAATGTTTCGGTAAATCTGAGTGGGAGCATTCTGTAAGTCAAGGCTTGTTGCTAGGTACTTATCTGATTTTTTTCGAGACTGGATAAATAAGGAAAACTGAGGCTACCAAATTATGTATAAATCAAAGCAAACCAGAGCAAAACACATACAAATGTACAAATATTAAATACCATGGCCTTACCCCTGCGCCCAGGGTACACGTGTGGGTAGTACTCGTAATAAAGGTCTGGCTGATCAAGATTTCCAAAGGGTTCAAATTCCATCTCAGCATTCTGGAAAAGGCCCAACTTCACTAGTAGTGCCAGCCTCACAAACCAGAGCTAAAAACAAAATACAATGGAAACAATAGGTTATCTATATATATCCAGTTCAGAAATTGCTATTCCTTATGAAGTTGGTTGTTAAGAGATTAATTTCTCATATATTAAAATAAGGGCTAACCTAACTTCCTATCTTTGCATATTTACAAAATCGTGTTTAAAAAAGCAGAACGTGGTCACTCTGCGAGGTGAGGTCATGAAAAATAAAATCCGACATTTGAAACATGCTGAATATTTAATTCTCAGATATCACTCATGCCTGCAGTTCCAGCTACTCGGGAGGCTGATGTGGGAGGATCACTTGAGCCCAGCAGTTTGAGCACAGCCTGGACAACATAGCGAGACCCTGTCTCTAAAAAAAAAAAAAATTACTATTGAGCTTAATAACAATGTGAATGGTTTTACATAACTGTTTACTCAGTAAGTAAACACTGCTTACTGAGCAGGTGTGTGTGCAAAGCACTGTGCTAGGTGTCATGAAGACGGAAAGGCACCAAAGGAATGCGCCGCCTAGTGGAGGGCGGGGGAATGACGGCGGGAACGGGAGCAGGAAGGAGCGGAAGCGCGGGGATGGGCTGTGTTTGAGGGCAGCTCTCAGGGCTGCGGAGTTTCAAGGGGCCACAGGCTAAGGAAGGGTCTGCTCGTTCAGGGAACGTAAGGACAAAGGCACAGAGTGGACAAAACACGACGTACGAGAGCACAGCGTGCTCTGGCAGCATCTGGGGTACCTTCAGGAAAATGGTGGGGATTTGCATTACAGAGCTGCACAGCCAGAGACTTAGGATTAAAAGGGGAACCTAATGTGATCTGACTTTACTGATGAGAAGAATGAATTTCACCAAGTGTCCGCTGAGGGATGAATGGATAAAGGAACGTGGTACGACACACAGTGGAATACCACTCAGCTTTCATGGGGGAAATCCCATTGTTTGTGATGTGGATGTGAGCCTGGGGGACATGACGTTAGATGAAACAAGCCAAGCACAGAAAGACAAACAGCGCGGGGCCTCACTTACACATGGAATCTGAAAACACTGGGCTCACAGAAGCAGAGTAGATGGCGGGTGCCGGGGCTGGGGGTGGGGGTGGGGAGGAGGGCAGGGCAGCGAGGTTTGAGAGATGTTAGTCAAAGGAAACAAAATTCAGTGAGACAGGAGGAATAAGCTCAAGAGATCTATTGTAGACATGGTGACCACAGTTACAAACAACGTATACTAAAAATTGCTAAGACAGATTTTCAGTGTTCTCATTACACACACACACACACACACACACACACACACACACGAGATGAAATTTCGCATGGTAGGCAATGGGAAACTATCCAGCTCTTGACTAGCTCCGTTTCAGACCTAGTTGGAAAGGAGGGTGGTTGACCCTCTTTAGGCAGCCTGGTGGTCCCTGGCTCCCAGGAGGTCACCATATTGGTCTTGAGCTAGTGCCAACACGTGATCAGCAAAGTGCACTACGGCCCAGAACTCCTGGGCCCAAGTGACCCTCCTGCCTCAGTCTCCCCAGTAGCTGGGACTACAGTCATGTGCCACTATGCCGGGCAGTTTTCAAGCAGGAAAGTGAGATGATCAAAAGTGTGCTTTAAGAGTTTTTTTGGAGGTAGTTGATGGAATGATTGTGAATAAAGAAACTTGAACTAAGTTCATATAGGAGGCTAAAGCAACACTGCAATGAGAGCTTGAACTGCGGGTGGTGATGGGTTGGAGAGGAATGATAGAAAAACAGCCTAGGATTTGGCAAACCAGTGGATGGACAGGTGATGGGGGAAAGTGGCTCTTCTTGTCGGCTCTTGCGGGAAGAGGAAGAAGGAGAAGGAGCTTGTTGGAAACAGCTAAGCTGTCAGGGCTCCCCAGAGCTGCTCCTTTCCAAAGCTCATCACAGTTCTGAAGGATCTGGTGATCTGTTTAGTCCCGGGGGATTCCCATGTAAGCTAGAAGAACAGTTGAAAAACTCCCCAGGGAAAGGTAAGAATTTATCAACGTTTGCAGCTGTTCCTTCTTCTCAGATGAGTTTCCTTTTGTTCACAAGTCTATTTTGTGCATTCCTTTTTTTTTTAATTTCAGAGCAAGTGATATGCCAGGAGGAGCAAACCCATGGCACATGGACCCTCCGTCCTTGGGGTGGACAGAACCAACTGCCCCTGTCACTGTTTCCTACCGGGCTCAGACATGCCCCAGATCCCCGCACAGGCCAGCTGCTGCTGCCAGTCGTGAGGCGAACCTGCCTGCTGACCCAAAGCCATGCTGGTCCCACCATGAGACCAAGTGTGGGCACCTGTGAGTGTGCTTCTGGGGCGCACAGGCGTCCTGATGGGCCAAAGTGAGAATTCCAGTGCCCCAGTACAGTATATACAATATAATTAGGAGATAAAGAAGCAGGATATGAAAATATACTTTTTGTTACTGGCATGAAAGGCCATGGTCCTGTCCATGTCCCCAAACTGTGATAAGCCAGGTTAAACTACAGCCCCTGAAAGGTGTTCTCACCTGCAGTGAATCTGTCGTGTGGCTGGTGGGCAGCCCGCTCTTGCCGTAGCCCTGGCCGTGGGCTGTGAGGAGACGTCCGCACAGGTCCACTGCTGCCCTCCAGTTTCTGCAGCTCTGCAAGACATGGCAGAACATGTGAACAAACACACATGCAAGGCATGGTGGAATCCATGACCCAAACGCATAGCCACTGGCCACAGCTGCTCACCTTGCTGGAAGCAGCGCCAGCCAGCCATTAGTAATCATGACAAGGTCAGTGTGCTGGCAGCACGGAGGGGAATGCCATTTGTCAACGCTGCACGTGTAATTAGGCAATAAGAGAGCCAAGCGTGAGATACAGTTCGAGCTGATGAAATCATAAAAACAGTAACATTTAGCAACTGATAGAGCATCGGGAAGAGGCTTTTTATTGGAAAGCTCCGCATCTCTCTCCATCTATATGACTGGCGTCCTTTTTAGCAGGATTGTCTTGAGATTTGTCAATTTAAAATCAATAAGGAAATTTTATGCTATGTGTTGGACATATGTATTTGTATCTGTAAGCTCTGCATGTGACTATAAAATAAGTGGCTTTCTATGTTCATAATTCTAATTTATCAATATGAAAAAATCAATGAACTATGTGAACACAACATGTTCCAGGCCCATGTGGCAATGCACGGCATACTTTCACATCGCGTAACGTTATGGCTTCAACACGGAAGGGCTGGCTGGTACCGCCACGCTGGCTGATTCGTACAGACTTCTGTGTTTATCTTTGCCCTTGTGCAATGCAGAAAGGACAGCCGTTAGAGAAATGAATGGGAAAAAAAGGTCGGAATGTTTAAACCTTTTCAGAAGCTAAAAGTGGATGCTCACTCTGTCTTTTCTCAAGGTAATGGGCACTATCTTTGAATACTGTAGATGTCCTCATTTCTGCAGCCAGTCAGTAAACATGCTTTAAGTACTTCCTGCCTGACAGAGACTGCAAGGCTGGCGGGGAGGTTAGTGAACGAGCACTCATTAGTGGATGATCTAGCAAGGGAGACAGACAATTAAACAATATGTTTCTCAAAAATTAGCTAAATGATTTTGTGTGCATGCCAAGCACTTCTCTGACAAGAAGTTTAGGAGTTTACATATTTTAAAAATGTGTGGTAGAGCCTGCCACACACGTCTTCTGTGTACTAGCTCACACACGCACTGCTCCCTCTCCACACCTCCTGCCCTCCACGCCCGGACACAGAGAACTCAGGGCCTGCTCACGAAGCGCCTAGGAGGGAAATGAGTGTCAGCTTTGCACTACGGTTGTTCTGCAGTCCTTTATTTGGGCTTCCTCAGGCAGGAGCTAACGACCTGCTCTAATTCCAGCTGCAGTGGGGGCGGGGGCTGTGTTGCAGGCAGGAGAGCGGGGCTTGTGTCTTCCGGGGCTCTGACATGTGGCCTCACACTCACACTGCAGGCTCAGCAATGGCTGAGTTTACAGAGCTGAGGTCATCTGTCCCACCTTACAGATGTGACAATTAAGTAAGATATACGAAAGTGCTCAACACAGTGCCAGGCAGGAGGGAGGCATTAAAAATGTGGACGATGCTGTTAAAAATTCCCAAACTGTTTCTACATCAATCCAGAGCTGGCGTGTGCGTGCCCAGTGAAACTCTGTGTGTGAGGGAAGGAACTGGTGCTGGGCCCGGAGCTTCAGACAGGCCAGGCTCTATGAGTGAGCAGCCGTGTGACCTGGCACTGCAGACATCTCAGCTTCCTCCAGGTCTTCTCAGGGGTTGATAGTTCGTTTTTTAAAAATGCTGAACATTCGGCCGGGCGCGGTGGCTCACGCCTGTAATCCCAGCACTTTGGGAGGCCGAGGCGGGCGGATCACAAGGTCAGGAGATCGAGACCACGGTGAAACCCCGTCTCTACTAAAAATACAAAAAATTAGCCGGGCGCGGTTGTGGGCGCCTGTAGTCCCAGCTACTCGGGAGGCTGAGGCAGGAGAATGGCGTGAACTCGGGAGGCGGAGCTTGCAGTGAGCCGAGATCGCGCCACTGCACTCCAGCCTGGGCGACAGAGCGAGACTCCGTCTCAAAAAAAAAAAAAAAAAAAAAATGCTGAACATTCTACTGTCCAGATTACCAGTTTGTTTACCCACTGACCTATTGAAGGACCTCTTGGTTGCCTCTAGTTTTTGGCAACTATGGATAAAGCTGGCATCAACATCTTTGGGAAGATTCTTGTGTGGATATAAGCATTCGGCACAACTGGGTGAGACATCCAGGAGCGGAATGCAGTAACCGCAGTGCTGGGTTGTATGTAAGAGTGCGTTTAGTGTTGCAGGAGTCACCAAGCTGTCCTCCTAAGTGGCCACGCCACCTTGCCTTCCCCAGCAGCGAGGGGTCCTGCGGTTGCACATCCCACGGCACTTGGTGGTGTCCGTGGTCTGTTTTTCAGTCACTCCAACTAGCATGTGTTTTACTGTCTGGTGAACTTTCCACCGTTCTCTCAGAGTTTTTCCTTTCACTGTACCTGCCACAGCCTGACGGTGAGTACTGGCCTCCATGGCACCAACCAGCGAGCTGCAAATATTAGCAGGAGAACTCACATTTCTTAAAATATACCTTGCAGCATTTTTTTTTTCTTTTTGAAAGAAGGAGACCAGAGCATACATCATGCAGTTGGAGTCTGTGGTTTTCTTCACTAGCTGGTGCGCAGCCACTGGACCCAGTCAGAGAACCACTGATCGACGTTCCCCCAAACTGTCCACACTACAGCAAGTAACACAGGATTTCTGTGTTCTGGTTGACAGTTCAGAAACATTTTTAGATTGGTTAAGATAATTTACTAAAATGATCTCCAAATGCCTTCTCTAGTCTAAATTCAATGCAATAATCACTTTATATAATACAAATGGCTCTGTATATTCTCTTTGAATTGCAAATGTGAACGAGTGAGAGGGAAAGAGACTGTGCCAAGTCTGAACCAGTTCTATATATGCATCTAGGCAGACTCTGTATCCAGGGGCAACTAATAACTGCTCCCTTCCCGGTTCCCTACGCCTAAGGCTCTGGCCTGTCCTGCTAGAGAGGCTGGGGCCCTCTTCCCTCAGGACATGCCCTACCGTGAGGACAGGCAGGAGTTAATCAGGGAGGAGGAGGGGGGCAGAGACCCTCGAAGAGGACAGAATGTGTGCAAAGCCTGGTGAGAGCAGGCACGGGGGGGCACAGGGAGCAGAGGGCAGGGTGCAGGGCCCGAGGGGATGCAGTAAGGACCAGGTGGCCGGAGGCAGGAGGTGGAGGAGGGGCCGAGCCGGTGAGGATGAGGGTAGGCTGGGGAAGCAGGTGAGGACGGGTGGCACAGGAGGGGAGGCAGAGGAGGGTCAGGTGTGCTGGCCTTTGCAGGCTTCCAAGAGCACAGGCCACAGCATCTGAAGGCCCCAGTCTCCCTGCACTGATGGGGTGAACTTAAGGCGTCTGTGTAGACGTGAGTAAAGCTATGAAGAGGATGTTCCAGTAGCCGGGCCTGGTGCTGGCAATCTGTGCACATCCTGTGGACGCCCCCCACCCCCTACTGCCTGAGTTGGTGGGCGGAGCTCACAGGAGCCCAGAGGCCCGCGTCCTGTGCACCTGCATGGTGAGAAGGTTCTGTGCAACCACGGAAGAGCCAGGCATGCGCGGCAGAGCTCAGTAGCTGGACAGATACCGCATGGCCAGGAAGTCTACAACGTTCACTCCATGGCCTTTTACAGAAAACGCTGGCGGCTCCCAGGTCTCGGCCCCTCTGGCTCAGTAGTTCATTTCTGTCGACTTCAAGGACCCCTGTGGGCTGACGTTAGCCTGCAAGTGGCTTGTGACTGATACCCGAGGACGAGGCACAGGAATGGAGATGCTCCTGCAGTCACGTGACAGAGAACTTTACGTGTACAGCATGCCGTGATAACAAAGCAGGGGCCTGCATTTGGCATGTGTTTTTCATTTCATTCTTTCACGACTGATTACCGTGAATTAGTTATTATTTATATTGATGGTGCAGAGTGGCAGTAGCAGGTATTTGTCCAGAGGGTCAGCGAGCAGACGTTGCCAGGAGGCAGCCTGCAGAGGAACTCAACATCCGGCAGGTTCCAGATAAAGCCATTAGCAGCTTTGTTGAGAGCTGGTTGGACGGGAATCAGATGAGAATAAGATTTGTGGAAAGGCCGGGCGTGGTGGCTCACGCCTGTAATCCTAGCACACTGGCAGGCTGAGTCAGGCAGATTGCTTGAGCTTAGGAGCTCACGAAGGGCAACATGGTGAAACCCTGTCTGTATAAAACAAAAATGAGCTGCGTGTGGTGGCATGCATCTGTAGTCCCAGCTACCTGGGAGGCTGCGGTGGAAGGATCATCTGAGCCCAGGAGGCTGAGATTGCAGTGACCTGAAATCATGACACTGTACTCCAGTCCGGCGACAAGACTGAGACCCTGTCTTAAAAAAAAAAAAACAAATCTGTGGAAACTAAGGAGAGGGAAGCAGAGAGGTGGGCAGCTGTAGGAACCTCCAGGGAAGTCGGCATGACCAGGGTGCCAGCGGAGGAAAGGCCAACAGCGGCCGCAGAAGGTGAGACACTCCGTGTCTGTGTTTAAGCAAGTGCTTGAGTGTGTGAAAACACAGCGGAGGAGGCTGTAGCTGGAGAACAGCTGATTACACATTAGGAAGAAAGGATGACCCATGGCTCAAGGTTCTAGGCGTCAGGGCATGCGGGCCGAGGGCCGTCGGCGGCGACAGTCTGCCCGCTGACCTCAGCAGGTGTGTGTCCAGGACTAGGGACGTGAGGTGCTACCAGAACTCTGTTTTGGCTCCAAAGCTGGGGGAACGTCACTCATTTTTAAAAGTGAGGAGGAAGGGGAGGGGTGGGAGGCTTGAGAGAGGTAGAGACAGTCTAAAAGGGCAGTGGGAGAGACCAGAGCAACCTGGCAGGAAGGCCCCGCAGTGCTGATGATCCACTCGACGCTGCCAAGCATCACTGCCGATGCTTGAATGTGGGAAATGCTCCCGCAGCCTCAGCTGCTGGGTGTCCATGCAGAGGAAGCTGGAGGCTGAACCTGTCAAGAGCGCAGGTATCTGAGATGTGTGCAGTGGAAGAATGAAGGAGCAGGCATTCTGG